CGAGTACGTCGACAAGCAGTACAAGAAGGTGCAGCGATCCCTGGATGGACTGGTTGAGATTTCAAAGGACCCCCGTGTCATGTCTGTGCAAGTCATCGGGAACGGTGACCATTCCGGGTACTCATTGCCGCCATCTTACAACCGTGAGATGGGCAAGCACATCAATTGGCTGGCAGAGCGTGGCATTCAATGTGTGAACTCCACTATGCTCGCTCAGGGTGGGAAATACGACAACTACCACCTGCACGACCACCAATTTAACCGGAAACTGGTTTATCGTTTCTTGAGAGGAGCCATCACCTTCCACCTCAAATACGTTGAGCTCATGTCGAAGAAGGACGATCTCAAGTACTTTGTGAAGGAGTTCATCAGCAACGAGCAAGATCGTGTGGCCGCGGTCCATCTCTTTCCCACGATGGTTCAGTTTCGTTTGGCTTTGCTCGGCACTCAAGAAGTCATGGAAGCCGTCTCCACCGAGAAGAAAACGGCAACCCCTGCCCAGGTCTTTGATGAGGCAGATGAGGAGATCCTCATGTGGGTCCATGCAGGAATTCTTGAGGCCAACGAGGAAGCCACCCGGGAGGGAAGGCCGATGCCCACAGCTTTCACTGATGAAGAGATCAGCTCCATCGTCCCAATTGACCCTTCGATCGAGGACTATGAAACCGAAGAGTTCAGGGCCCGACAATACCTTCAAGAAGATCTGAATCAGGCCGCTGCTGATGGTTTCTCAACCACAACCATTGAGTCGATCGAGATCAATCCGGAGAACACTGATGTCGAAGATGATGTTGAGGTTGTTCCCGAGTTTGATGAATGGGACGTGATCCTGGACGAGAAGATCATTGTCAACCCCCATGATGAGAAGGTCAAGGAAGATGAAATCTCGGAGGACAGAGCCAAGGAGGTTGCGGATCTCAACAAGATCATCGAGATCACATCCACTGAGGCAAAGCCTTCGGGAACGTCGGCCGATGACCCTGCTGCTGCAAAAGATGCACCTGCCAAGGTTGACCAAGGGGGAGAAGACATGACTTCATCGAGGATTTCAACATGGAGCGTGGTTGGTGGTGATGAATCCAAGCCCAGCGACATGACTTCTTCCAGGATCTCAACATGGACCGAGGCTGGTGGATCTGAAGCCACTGCCATGGACATTGACTCTGAGAAGAAGGAAGGTGCTGATGCTGCCCGGAAGGGTGTGCCAACTGACACTGCGGTTCCTGAGGCTTCTGCTTCTTCCGAACAGCCTGCTGACAAGACTGCCATTGTCGACCTGACCAAGACCGAGAAGAAGGTGGAGGTCGACAAGCCAGTTGGAAAGCCGGCCGAAAAGAAAATGCCGAAGAGTGAAAAGCAAAAGGCACCAGAGTCCAAAGCGCAGCCCAGACAGAAAGCGCCGCGACTCAGTGTCGAAGCTGATGCAGCCCTTCGCAAGTTGGAAGAAGCAACGGAACGCCAAGAGGGATCAGTATGGTTGGACCCCAATGACATGATCAACAGGATCCCCAAGGAGTATTGCGGCCAAGGGCGACTGAGATTTCTTTCCACAAAGTTGTCTTATGTTCTCCGTGGACACGCATTGAGCTATGGTGCTCGCAGCCCAGACATCGATCCCATGGATCTTTCGATGGATTTCGAGGCGGTGATGAAGACGATGGCCCACTACGTCTCCTACCCGAAGATCAGTGAGGTCCTGTCCATTGTGCGCAACAGTGACACCAGGCGCTTCCAGGTGAAAGTGGCCCAGCCCGATTTGCCTGAAGCAACCTGGAAGGGTTTGCCATGGAAGGTTGTCGCCATCAGAGCAGTCCAAGGACACAACCGCGCAGTGGTGGAAAATGCCAAGATTTCATCACTGGTGAAGGAAGTGTTTACTCTGGATCCAACCTTCTCCAAGGCCGACCTCGACACGCCCAAGTTGCCAAGGACAAACCTTCGTCCAGACCTTGTGCCGGAGTTGATGGCTGCACTCCCAAGGGTTATCTACCATAGCTGCGACAGGCTCGCTATGGAAAAGATAGTTGAACATGGTCTCATCCCAGGTGGCTGGCCCCAAAGAACAGGAAGGGCGCATAATTTCTTTATTGCGTCACATCCATGGGATGATTCAGTCGGTGGCAGAAAGCTCGCGGGAACGCGAGCCGGGAAGCAATATTACATTGCCTTTGACACCGAGCTCATCGTCCAAAGCGGCTGCCGATTGTTCCGCACAGACGAAGCAATCATAAGCCCTGACTGGATCTCCAACGAGAACATCATTTGCACATATGATGCTGTCAACCGGGAGTTTGCCTGGGTGAATCGCCCCTATGAGATCACACGTGTGGGGTACAACAGCAAAATGAAGACCCACAAGGACCAGGACACTCCGAAGAAAGAAGCCTTGTCCAAGAGCCCGTATGCCAACGCCAGGGACAGTCTGAAGGCCTACCTCATGAGCGGCAAGTCCATTCGACCAGGCCAGATGCAGATGACTGACTCTCCGGAGGAACTTCCCCCACTTCTTCGTCGACGTGAAGGAACTTCAGGACCCTTTGAAGACAAGGTGACGTTGAAGATGGCCTCCTTTGGTGCTTTGTCCAATGCTGAAACCATCCGCAAGGGCAAGGGCCGGGGAAAAGGCAAGGGAAAAGGAAGCCGCCCGGGAGGGCTGGCCCAGCGCTCAACAAATGCTGAGGATTACATCTACAGCTCAAAGATTGAGATGCAGCAGGTCAGATGCCACTTCTGCGGTGAACAGAACATTGAGGGCACCCACAAGTGTCAGTCGTGCTTCAAATGGCTGATTGCTTGGTCGGATGGAAGAATTGCGACAGAGGTATGCCGGATGGAAATCTCGGCCAAGAAAACCAATAAGGTGTTTTCCCTGGACAAGATCGATTTTGAGAAGCAGCCACGTGCTCAGCGAGTTTCTGACCGCACCCGAGCAGATCAACGTCGAGCTGGACGAAGTAACTTCGGAAATCTCAAGGACGCTGCTCAGACACATGCGGGAAGATACACAAAGCTCGGCTTCAAATCGATCCAGGACCGCATGGAGAAGGACCCATTTTATTTGTTCAACAATGCGGTTGGCCAGATAACCCCTGACTGTTGTCAGTTTTTGGAGGATCTGGCAAAATGCATTGCCCCTGATGTTGGCCGTACCCGAGAGAAGCGAGAAAAGCAGCTGGGAACAGGTGTCAGTTCTCGTTTGATTTTTATGCCTGACTTCAACAGAGACATCCGACTCCCGTTGGACGTTACCAAGGAAGCCATGGTTGCACATCACGCACGTGTTTTTACACTCCCACAATTTGCTGTTCTTGCTGCGGACTTGCTGAAAGCGAGGGGGGAACCCACGCCGATGTTATTTGGTTGGTCTGGCTCAGTGTTACCTGTGGATCAGGCTTCAGCCCAAGATTGTTTCTTTGACCTCGTCGACTTCGCGAAGAGGCAGTGGAAGGAACAATATAATAACATCAAGGGTGAAGAGCACTCCTTCGTGGATGAAGCCACCGCATCAGATGTGGCTGAGTTTCCATTGGCAAGGTCCTCCAAGACGGGTACTGGCGAAGGGCGAGAGGGATACCGGCGCCACTTTGACCCGATCCAGAAGCCAGCCAAGGGCAAGGGCAAGGGTTATGGTCAGCAACAACGACCAATCTTTCAGCAGGCCATTGAGTGCTGGAAGTGCGGTCAGTATGGCCACAAATCCTTTGAGTGCCGCAGTGGATGGAACCGAGGGCAACAATGGGGTTCGTATGGATCTTACTCAAGCCGCTCGGGAGGGCAGGCCCAATGGCAAAGCTGGAATTGGAATCAGGGCTACTCTGGCAGAGGATGGACTGCTGATCCTTGGGGAAGATCTACAGCATCAAGCTCCTCAGCAGCTCCTCCGGAGCCAGTGCGGCCACCTTCAACAGCGACGCCTGTGCCTGACACAATTCCTGCTGCTGGCGACCCTGCCCAAGCAGCCTCTGGATCAGCTCCTGCAGCAGAACCTCCACAGCAAGTGCCGAGGATGCCGCTCGTGATTGCTGAGGAGTACTGCGAGATCAACGGCCAACCGCACTTCAAGCGCACCTACAATGATGGGACGGTAGAGTTTGAGTCGTGGTAGATGTTTCACATCTTGTGCCATGATTTTATGCCTACCGGAAGGTTTGGCCGATTGGATGAAAGCTGACCTGTGGTCATTCAGTTCAATCGAAGTGCACACATTTCCAAACATGAAATTCCAACTTGATTAACTTGAAAACTTGTTCCAATTGATTCAATGAGATTGACACCAGCATCCGATCCAATGCAGTAGATTGCGTGCACATAGCCGTGTACATTAGCCTGCTACAGTAGCTTCTAAGTTTCCAGGGCAATAAAGGAGTGGTAATGCTCCTATGCCTTGGCGGAAGCCAGGCCGATGACACTTTTTCTATGTCCGACACATGCCATGCTTGGGATCGTAAAAACCCTTTTGCATTCGACCTTTTGCCTCATGCATCCGTGAGCTATGAGCATCCGCAACTTTACGGTAGATGTAGCTGACAGTGATGTTTTTCCCATGTTGTCCTCTCTCAGGTCACTTCTGGAGGACTACATCTCTCCGCTCTCCGTGAAACTGCGGGGCGGCGGGGGGTGTTTTTGGGTAGTTTCACTGTATATACTAATGTATCACTCATCCTACCGTGTTGCATTGGCTCAAGCAAAACAATTGCGCTAGCTGGTGCTTTCAGGTTGATTCACTTGTGAAACAGATCTAAAACCGCTGTTTAGCTAGCTAATTCATATGAATTCCCAATGTTTGTTGTGGAATTCATTTGAAATCCCTATTTATAATTATATATATATAATATATATATATATTTCTTGATGAAATCTTGTGATATCCCCAGTTTTGCCGCCTTTTCTTGTTCGAGTTTGCTAAATCCACAAATCTGATACTTTGATAGTTTGTATCTTAAACCCAACAATCCAGTCTTGTTCTACGCCAAGCCGCAAGCATTCCACAGCACGGCTAGGGCGCGGAAAATGATGAGGAAGCTACTGAACTTTTGGAGCAGGGTCTCGTCTCGTCGGGGCACCCTCAGGGCTCCAAACTCCGGCACCCTGTGAGGGTGTTTGTGTAAATAATTAATATTGAAGTGATATCATTAAACAACGTTACAGTCATGTGAGATTTGGTTGAATGATGTTAAACAATGTTGAATGATCTTACATTGTTTTAAAATATGTTAAATGTATATGCAGCATCTATCATTGTGACAGTTATTTTTGTTGTTTCTTTATATTGATGCTCTAGATACAACCATAGTCAGATCCAGTGACTTAGAATTGTAATCACACATAATAGACAAATTGTTTGGAATGGGTATACCCACACTGTTTGGGGAAAAGATATGTTGATCATATTCTAGTGTGAAACAACCACACCTCATACTTGTTTGTCGTTTTTACCTGGACAGTTTCTTGGCTTCCATTTTTTCTAAAAACTAGCTTCGAAGTGGGAATTACATCGCTCTGTAGCAACTGGACATATAATATCATATAATCAACTCACCCAGTAGTGATGCAAAACAGTGTCAAATCCACATATATATATATACAACCTTGTTATATATATATATATATAACATCATGGAATATAAATAAGATTTTACAAGAACATACTTTTATATACTGTATGTATATATAAATATATTATAAACACATACATTTTTGCACGCACACATGTATATATATATATATATTATATAATTGTATATTTATACAAATTATGTGTGTGCAGCAGCCCAACATATTCCCATCGGACATGTGACATGACTGCACCGAGGGGCCGAGTGGAGTCCATCAGCATCAGCTACGACAACTTGCGGCGCTTGATCCTCGAAGCCGTGGCCTTTGGCTCGGTGCTCTTCGATGCGGAGACTTCCCGGGGGCGGGGGGATCCAAAATGGTTGGCTGGTCGGGTAGGGAAAAATCTATGGAAAAGCCATGGAAAAGACTGAAAGAAATGGGGAAACCATGGGAAATCTCCTGAAAAATCGTCGGTGAATGATGTTTGATGAAGATCATAGTGGTTGGCATAGTGGTGCAGGCTTTCAGTGTTCGCATAACAATACTACAGGGGTTCTTTTTGAAGGATATAAGGGTTTGTAAATTAATGGTTGCTTACAGGTTTGATAAGCATCTTTATTTTTTTCCAGGGTAGATGGTTCCAGGAACCCTGAAATTATAGCAGAGATCCCATGATTTTACTGTTGGCGGATGATGATTTGGTGATGATGGTGATGATAGTGATGATGATGAGGTGAAGGACGACAAGGGAGGCACGGTTGACAAGGGTGAAAACTTGCATGCGTAAGTCCTTGATGAAACATCGTCTACCGAGATCCTGTCCTAACTGTTTGGAAATCCTGGATTTGGAAATCCTGGAGCCGCCTCTTTTTTTTTCTCCAGGATCTCAGAACTGAGATTTGTTATTTTGTTCTGTTTGAAATCTGGTAAATAGGTGTAGCCATGATGGGTGATGCATCGTATATACCCACAATTTATCACTTGGTATAACCCCCTAAATCAACCCATCAACTTTGATATTTATGGTCCATATATGGTTGATTTTTCTCCAAGGCCATGGGTTCTCTTGGGGCTTTCAGGAGAGGGAAGCAGATAGCACTTACGAGTTGACCCCGGTGACCCCCAGCGATCGCAGAGATTTGGATCTTGGATGATCCGGGATGATCACAGTGGGTTGAAGCAGTGCTGCAACAGCAAACATGATCAAACATGAATAACAGATATTTTTTAAAAAAAAACAGGATCCAGCATCCCCAAGTATCCCCAAGTCACCATTTTTTCTGCATATGGGTGAAGCGACCAGCCGTACAGAGGGTCCCACTAGGGTCCCATCATTTTTTTGCGGTGAATTCCACCAAATCCATGTAGAATTATCCCAAAAAATAGTCAGGTATTCCAATATGTTCCAAGATATTCTAAGGTATATGGTTTTGTTTGGAAATTGGGTTACCCCATTCCGTCAATATCCCTTTCTTTCGGATTTAGTTGGATGTATACCGCAGACACACATCCAAATACCTTTCATTATCGCAGATATCCCATTCTGAAATCTATACTGTATCCAGTTGGTTGAAGCCCCATGATATTCCGTCAAACCACATCTATAGTGCGATACATCCTATTAAAATGGTGAGAAAAAACACAGTGTGCATATATAAGTATATAAATATAATATATATTATATATTCATGAATTGATCTGTCCATTTGTGGCAACGGGCAACCGACTGTATCGTGACAGATTCTGACCCCGTGGGCGACAAAGTGTTGTTTGGCGTCTCAAAATGATGGTTTTTGTCAGGGGGGAACATAACTATCTATCCCAAAATGCAATGTTTCAGGTTGGTAGTTGATCATGTACAGATGGATTTACATATTATATATACACACACTATATATATATATATATTTGCATACAGACCACACACACATGCGCCCTCCAATGTGTCAAACATGGCTGGCTGGGAACTCCCCAAACTAAATGGAAGTGTTAAGAAGAACATCCTCAAAGTGACAGAGCTGTATCATTGTCATGCTTGATTTTGGGAGGGCAACTAGGTGGGAATGGTAGTAGATTGGAAGGGTATTGGAGAATGTGTGTGAGTTATATGAAGCAAAAATTGAACTATTTAAACAGGAAGCCTTCCAGGACATCTTGGCACCCAAGATTCAAACACATGCTCCAGCTGCAGCGCGCATGCTTCGATTGAACAAGGGAGACTAGCGGCAAGGGGGATGCGCAGTGGGACAGCACGCCATCCACGGCGTCATACCATTCCTATGGAGGATCCGGGATATAATCATTAATTTAGTGACGTCTTTCGCGTGGATGAACTGTACAACTTCATGACACTCACTGCAGATGAATCAGTGGGTTGACGTCAAGTGGGAAGTTGACTCAAATCTGTCGTGGCAATATGTCAACAAAGATGATCAAGGATGGTGTGATCCCAAATTGAAGTGCATGCATTTGATAAGGGAAAATCTCATGGTATGTTACGGTCTTATTCATCCAGCGGATTTGTGGCTCAAAAAAGCCGCCCCGTTCCCATTCTTCTATTTTTTTAAGGGTCCTATCGTCCTTGCCTTGTACCCTGGCTGCGGTCAGAGTACGCGGGGCCAACCGCCTACAAACGGGACCCCCCCAAAAAATAGACGCAACAGTAAACCTGGGGTCTAGAGAAAGGGGATGGGAATACATTCCCATTCATGTTTCGCACTGCTGTTTTTCAATTTGTAATGTTTCGCTATTGGTGATGGGTTGGCGATGAACTGGAAGCCCCTGCATCACCGCACTACTCACCTCTCTAGAGCAAAAACGGACCTTCAAATCATCAGTTTAAATTCTAATTATTCTAATTGCCAGGCAGGATATTTGGCCAGATCTAGAAAACACATACTGTATATATATATATATTATATATGATATATATATATATAATATATAGAGATCGAACCTGACAATGGTCATCGGCGCCGCGGGAAAATCTCGAATCTCGGATCTCGAATCTCGGATCTCGGATCTCGGATCTCGGATCTCGAATCTCGGATCTCGAATCTCAGATCTCGGATCTCGGATCTCGGATCTCGGATCTCGGATCTCGGATCTCGGATCTCGAATCTCGGATCTCGGATCTCGAATCTCGGATCTCGGATCTCGGATCTCGGATCTCGGATCTCGGATCTCGAATCTCGGATCTCGGATCTCGGATCTCCGATCTCGAATCTCCAATCTCGGATCTCGAATCTCGGATCTCGGATCTCGGATCTCGATCTCGGATCTCGGATCTCGGATCTCGGATCTCGGATCTCGAATCTCGAATCTCGGATCTCGGATCTCGAATCTCGAATCTCGAATCTTGAACACGAATCTCGAATCTCAGATCTCGTATCTCGTATCTCGGATCTTGGATCGCGAATCTCGAATCTCGGAAGTTGGATTTTAGATCTGGGATCTCGAATCTGAACTTGCCGAAGAGATACCAGTTTTTAGATTCTGCAAGTTCCCTTGGCGAAGATCTTTGTCTGTAGGACATCGTGTGCAAGATGTTCGTGACAGCTTCTGTAGAAGCTGCTGTGCAAGATCCCTTTGCAAGGTTGAAGGCTATTTGTACAAGGTGTCTACAAGAAATCTCCACGCAAGATGTCTGCAAATGTCTTTAAGAGATCTCTAAGTAAGATCTCTGCTCAAGCTCTCTAATCTAGAGGAGATCTCTTAGCAAGATCTCTGTTTTCTGCACAAGGCCTCCGTACAAGATCTTTACGGACTCTACAAGAGGTCGTCTCTTGGCAAGACCTCGTACAAGCTCTCTGAAAAACATATCTCGACAAGCTATCTCGACAAGCTCTGTTTACGAGATCTAATGGCAATATCTTTATAAGAGGTCTCCTGGCAAGATCTCTGCACAAGATCTCTATAGGATATCTCTTGGCAAGATCTCTGTATGAAATCTCTGTACAAACTCTCTTTGGAAGCTTTTTTTTGGCAAGATCTAAGTAAGAGACCTCTTGGCAAGATCTCTGGACAAGCTCCCCATATGAGGTCTCTTGGCAAGATTTCTGAAAGAGATCTCCGTACAAGCTCTCTATAAGAGCTCTCTTGACAAGCTCTTGTCCCCAAAGGCTCACACCTGCTACGAAAAATGGACATAGATTCAACAAAAGTAACACGCCTGCTCAGTACTCGAATGAAAATCTTCTTGCCTGATCTACGGACATTTCTCTCCTGTCTTTCTCTTTGGTACACACAGTCCCAGAAGCGCCATCAAGTGTGAGTGCATCAAGTGTGTGTGTGTGTGCAGGTGCCAGAGAAGATCCTACAGAGTAGCATCATGCGTGTGCAAGTGCACGAGAAGATCCTACAGTGTAACATCAAATGTGCGTGTGTGTATGTATGTGTGTCTGTGTCTGTGTGTGTGCAAGTGCCAGAAAAGATAGGATACTACAGCATTAGCCTCATATGTGTGCGCGTGTGCAAATGCCAGAGAAGATCCTACAGCGTAGCCTCATGTGTGTGCGCATCTGCAAGTGGCAGAGAAGATCCTACAGTGTAGCCTCATGTGTGTGCAAGTGCACGAGAAGATCCTACAGTGTAACATCAAGTGTGTGTGTGTGTGTCTGTGTCTGTGTGTGTGCAAGTGCCAGAAAAGATACGACAGCGTAGCCTCATATGTGTGCGCGTGTGCAAGTGCCAGAGAAGATCCTACAGCGTAGCCTCATGCGTGTGCGCGTCTGCAAGTGGCAGAGAAGATCCTACAGTGTAGCCTCATGTGTGTGCGTGTATGCAAGTGCCAGAGAAGATCCTACAGAGTAGCATCAAGCGTGTGTGTGTGTACAAGTGCCAGAGAAGATCCAAGAAAAAACAAGCACGTGACACCAAAAACAGCACGGCGCGCCGGTAAAACTAGACCTTCGGAAGAAAGCCTTCTGGGACACCATTTTCGTGCGAGATTCTGTCGAAAACAGGAGATCGAAGGACTTTGGTGCTGTAAGGGTCGCCAAAGTTGCCGGACACCCCGGAGACCACCTTGAATGAACACCAGGCCTTAACCAATAGCATAAGAATTTGAAGTGTGGCCATATACTGTTTAGGGTAACCCATACCAGATCCATCAGAATCATCACCATGAATTCAGGGCCAAACCAAAGGTACTCTTGCCCAATCCTTGTTAGCTCCAGCCAGAATGTGAGCCCAGCAGCATAGGGCGGTGGCCCTTTGAAGTGGCCTGCAGGTGGGAAGCAATGCGGCATCAGATCCAACTGGCGACATGCACCACGCTCTTAACATGCTGCAGCTGAACAAGCAGCAGAAGTAAATGCGGCACAAGCGCGCTGGGTGAATGAGAAAGTGGCAGGGCAGATTGCAGGAGCCAAGTTTGCATTTTGTCACGATGCGGTGAAGAATGCGACTTTGTCTAGGATGCCCTCACTCTGCGTGTCCTTTGAAGCCTTCAGCACACAATGCCATGCACCCCTGGAACTTACACTCTTCAAAAACTGCTGCAGTGTCTCTTTTTCCCAACTGCACTGTGACCTTCTGCTTGTCTCCAGGCTTCAAGATGCCAACCTTCTCCAACTCAATGACGATGGAATCGCGATCTTCCTGAGGAACCTTCACAAGGTCAAAGCTGTTGGTTTTGTTTGGCGTCGGCACAGCTAGCGTAGCTGAAATCAAAAGCTTTGTGACTTTGGCAGCCAGCACATAAGATTTTTCTGTTGTTGGATGAACGTCTCGCACTTTTTCATTCAAGCGCCATTGCGGCATAGAATGGTTCTTCTGCTTGAGGATCCAAGCCAGCATCTTCGTCATCGTGTCTTTGTGATTGCGCAGGTCAGCGACTTGGAGAGGTTCGTCTTTCAGCCGCTTCGCCGGCGGCTCATCATCACTGGCCTCAGGATTTCCAAGAGCAACCTGTGTCAACACATGCTGTTCTTCCGGCTTCTTGTGCGGAGAAGTTGCGACAGCTTGTGATGCACCAGGATCAGGTTGCGAAGGCGGAATGTCGGCGTGCACAGCAAGAGCCTGAATGTCAGGCAGCTTGTCAATGGCAATCGGGAAGCCTTTCAGAAGTTTGACCAATGCTTGACACACAGTGTCTGCATTGTCCTGGTCAAGGTTGGGAAGGGGCCCTTCATTGAAAGGAACGGCAGCGCGCAACTCCTGAAAAGAGACTTCTGGGGAGAACAGTTGCAGCCG